ATGTTTTCTTGAGGATAAAAATTCCTCTTTTTCTAGCTCTATATAAATCAAAATACTTATCTTAAACGAATGTAATTTAAGGATCAATTTAACGAAAATATTTTAGACATTTTTCTTTAAAAACAACCTATTTCAGATTTTTTTTTCTTAACTTCTCTTACTCTATCATTTTAATTCCCAAATTAAATTTTAATATTCAAAAAGTTATTAATTAAAAATAATCCTATATAACAATATAAGTTATTTATCATAAATTTAAAATATAATTTATATGATAAAAATATTTATCTATCTACAAGAAATGGTTACATATACAAAAAATGTCACTATAAGTATAATATATATTTGACATATAGTTACACACAATTTTAGTGTTGATTTTAAATGAGATTTAACAACATATTTTGTGTGTCACTATAGTTTATACCCACACTTTTTAATAATATACTAATATATATTGTAGTTATTGTGTGGATAAAAGTAATTTTTAGTGACATGTATAGTGTTACTATGAGATGTGTGTCACTATATGATAATTTTGTTGTAGTGATCACAACTTCTAATTATAATTAATACAATATATATATTCAAAGATATTTATTTAATATAAATTTTATTTATATAAAATAAAAGTTTGTTATATGCATTTCACAAATTAAAATAGTAGTAAAGATAATAAAAATAAAATATTAAAAATATAGATTATAAAAATATTAAAAATAAAAACATTACAATTAATAAATGATAAGTTGAACTGTTAATAGCATTAGCATCTAAACAATGTTACAAATTAGTGAATTGAGCACATTTACAGAATGTGATGAACTTCTAATGATATCAAGAAGGATGATAATTGTATGTCCAGCTCATGGAATGATAATGATATTTTGGTGCGTGCTAATAAACAGAACCCTTAACATAATCACGTCTAGCTAGAGTTATTTAATTACAATTTTGGTAGTTGGGTAAAGGAAGGAATGAAAAAGATAAAATAAAGTAAAATTGAGGGTAGGAAAAGTTGTGGCTATGGGGATGATAGAAGAAAGGGGAGAAGCAAAAAGTAGTGCAAAGTGTGGGTGTAGAAAGTTATAGTCAGAGTACAAAAAATAAAAAAGAGAAAAAGGTTTTGAGTCAGTGTGTGTGAGTGTAAGAAAGAACAAAACCAAATCGCAAAGCATCTATCAACCGGCGTATAAAGTGGAGCAGTCTTTGAATATATCAGTGAATTTGTAGTGAGTGTGAGTGGTCACCACCAAATTTACCCGTTAGTGAATGCAAAGGTTAATCCATAAATGAATACGTGAAAGGTTAACTACTAGGTAAATTTTCATTGGACATTCGTGAAAAGGATGGATATCATATCATGCACTTATTGTTTTATATATTCGTGCTGTAAAATTACTGAGAATATGAATATACTTTCTCCAAAGGGTATGGCCCTAAACAAAGTTAAAAAGGTTGTGTCTCATCTTCAATTCAATTAAGAAAATATCAAATCTCAATCAACACTGTGAATACTTTAAAAATTACATATATAAACAAAATATAGACTTACTATGTTTTGTTTATTTGCATGGGGGATTCCTTGTTAGGAACAATATTTACTCATCAAATTTCACCAAATATGTAACGTGAATAGTTCCATCTACAAGCTCCTGACATATTGTTGCTGACATGATGCATAGTTCTAGCTTGTTCATGTATGGTTAGGTTGAACAAACTATTTACACAACACTAGAATCTGTTGTAAACATCAGAGCTGAGAGTGTACGTTGATATGGTTGCATGTCATGAAATCAAGAAGACGAATCTCCTATTAAAATTTAAAACTAATATTATGTGTATTCAAATTAATTTTTCAATGGGATCTAATTTAATTTGTTTAATAGACTATGTTAATTATTGTAAATCTCTTTTATCGGACATCGATTTTGGTGGGTGCATTTTTTTTCTCTAACAATTCACAACGTGGAGAATGGAATAATCAACTCTTTTAAAATTAATCTAATTTAACATTATTATAATTAGAGGTCGCGTGTTTTTTTTTTTTTACATTAATTTTATTTGGATGTGAATAGGTAGGAGTAATAATTAGTCATTTTTAATCAATTTTAAGATGATTCTTACTTAAATACGAATTGTGGATATGAAATTAAACATATATTTAAAATATATTTTTCAACGAACATGCAAATTAACTGATTATAGATTATTCTAATTTAACTAATGATCTTGAATTCTTAAAAGAAAAATTTTATCATAAAAATGTTTTAAGTGAAAAATACATGCAGACAAAAATAATTAGTTAATAATGTTTGGTTAAGAAAAAAAGTTTGAGAAAAAAGAAAAAATAAAGAAAAGAAAAAAAAAATGTCTAAAATGAAAGTTCTGTCCTCTTGTTTCGTTGCGTAAAAAGTGAAAATAAGAAAAATTGATGTGTATAAAATAATATAAAATTACTTAAATAAAAAAACCACAAAATATTAATTTTTATACTCTTATTTAATCACAACATATTGTATATCATAAATATATTGACTTTTTCTGCACACAATTATCTTAGAAGTTATATTAGCTACAATTTCTTAGCATTGCATACAAATTAGGTGAATTCTAATTGGGACGAATTTGATAAAAATCTTCTTATGTGAGATTAAAAATAATCGCTTAATATATTATTAAAATAAACAGATGACGATGATATAAGGAAGAAAAATTTAATCTCTTTTACATTAATAACATATCTATCTGATTTTTTTTTTACCTCGACATGATGATATTTTTGTAGTCCCTCCATGATCTGTCTCCAAAACTTTCTTCTTTTCCTTCCTTACACTCATCCAAATGAAAATATTCAAACTCCTTTTCAGTCCCTCCATGATCAACTCATTGCCTATTCGTTGTACCAAATAAAGCATCAGTTTCTGTTTATTTTGAAACAAGAATTATTTTTTCGTACATATTGCATTCAAAATAAATTTATGATTGAAATTCATTCATACACACATTTTATTGATGATCTAAAACTAGTTAAATAAAATTGATTTCATTAAACTTTAAAACAATCGGCCACTTAATTGACAAGGTGACAGCCTTTTTTTTTTTTTTGTGGCTATTTGGTTGGTGTATGTATAGATGGTGGTTATTTTTCTTTATTTATTTAAATGAAAACTAATAAAGAAAAATAATTATTTTGAACAAAGTTAATTGAAACCTATGAGAGAAAATTAATTAGGAAACAAAATTTACGCAAAGGGATACTAAATGAGGTAGTTGGAGAGACCTGGATGGGCCAAGAGGATATTGATGATTATTTTGATGGTTTAGGCACATCCATATATCACATCAATGGAAAGTATAATGGTACTCTTTGGCGGGACCAACTCCTACTAAGCTTTTAACCCAAAGTTCCAAACCCTAAAGTTAGGTCATCGATGTTAATAAGGAGTAATACACCGTCAGGTGCTGTGAAATAGATATCATATCATATTCCATTTCCTCATGGCTAGGGTAGTGGGTCCCCAACTTAAGTCTCTATAATTCTTTCTTTGAACAGTCAAGCTACAAATTATTCATCTTCATGTGATCAATTCGAACCATTCCATATAGGTATGCACACTCTTTTCCATCTTACTTTTCCCTTTCTATCTACTTCTTCCATCCTACCAGGATTGTATATATGTTTATGAAAATTAAGTATCACTTCATTGTTACAAAAGCTATCTTATACATATGGTCTAATACGCGTTTGCTTTAGTTTTTTTATTTTTAAACTAATTATTTGTTTTTAGTAACTATTTTAAAGTTGAACCAAACATATTAACAACTACAAGTCATTAGTTACAATGTTATTAAACTTAAGCACATTAAATAAGATGAGTTCGAGTTTTGCAAATAAAAAATACATGATTAGTACTAGAAAATATCTCTATAAATAGTTAGTTAAATTACCTAACAGAGATTAATTATTAATAAAATTGATAAATATTTTATATTAATAATATAATTAAAAAAAATATAATCAAGCATGCGATTACCTGTGTGTAGTGATGTCACTGTACCACATGGCTAAAGGGACTATTGAAGTGTATAGGCTAAATATTGATTTGATATACAGTCCTGAATGGTACCTTGAAAGAAAAGTGGAGTAGATGATGAAATTAAGAAGAATACTCGATTGTAAAGTTTATGAACGATTTCTCTTTACCATAGTGAAAACTGTCACACAAGGGATATTAGGAAAAGGGAAATTAATTTTTTACTAGAAGTTAATATATGTGGTTTTTTTTTTTTAATAATTCCGAGCATAAGATAATAATAGAGTCTATGTAGCCTGGTCTTATTAGTTTAAAGTGTGACATGTATATGTAGAATGTTGAGTATAGATGGAAGAAAAGTAACACATAAGAAAGACAATAACAGTGTAGCATGGTTGTTAAATTTTTGTAAGAGGGAAATCATAGGCTTTTCCACCTAGAGTTTAATTTTGTTGACATGGCATATGGATTTGCAATTAGCAAATGAAGGAGATATAATATAATATATTAATAGGTTGATGGAACGTACAGAATTTGATTTTTTGCAGAGGTGGGACTTAATATAGGTGGTGATTAATTATGATGACGGAGGGGGGCAAAAATGGAATTTGGCGTGACACATGAGACATGAGACATGAGACATGTGAGCGATGCACATGATGGGATATGGCGTTGGGTGGAACGGGGACAAGGGGAAGGCACAAGGCAGAGTAACCAGAGTTGAAACCTAACCCATGGTGAAGAGATGAGAAGGTGATGATAGAAGTACCCAAGGGGCCACAGAGAGCTACTGTGGTTCATGATTGTGCACTTAATAGCTTGCGTGCACTCTTGCCCTCACGCACGCCCACGTATGAATGAGTGAATCAACCTTCCACAACACTCTCAACTCTCAACTCTCAACTCCAGTTTAATAAATTATTATTATTTTCGTCACTTCACTCGAGGGTATATGTGTCAATGCATTTTCTATATAACTCAACTTCTCTTCTTTCGTCTTGGTTACACACGCTTTGACTGTACCCAACTCACGCCTGCTCCCTCTCTCAACCGCTTTCTTCTCTCTCTTCCTCTTCCTTGTAAGTTCTTCCTCCACTTCCCCATTTTTTTTTTTTTTTCAGTCTTATGTTTCATCTAGTTACACCTCATGTGTGTATGTGTGTTTTTGTTTTGTTTCCCAATTTGCTTGTTAGTCCTAGGATAATTTGATATTTGGAAAAAAATTGCTTAGTCTTGGGGAGTTTCAATTCACGCATCTGAATATCATTAATTTCTCGAGATCTCCTCGGTAAATTTGTTTCCTTTTAGTAAAAATTACTTTTTTAAGGGTAATTCTTTCTTCCATCCCGTAACTCGATCCTCTTGAAATTTTATGCTATGTTTTTTTGTTAATAGTTGTAACTTGTATTGGTTTTGAATTTTTTTTTCACCCTTAATGAAAATTTATACCCTATATTGACTGAATCCCTGTAATTACCCTGCTCTGAAGGTTTTGTTTGGGGAATATGATTAAGAAAAAGTAGAAAGAAAGAAATAAGGGCCTAGTTTTTCTTCTTTTAATTGGTTCTATTTTGATCTGAATTAAAAGTTGCTAATCTGTGTTGATTGTTAGATCTGTGACGTGTGAATTCTGTTTCAGGGTGTTGAACGGGTTTTTGGGTGAAGGAGTAGTGGTGGCTTCCTCTTTTTTGGGATAAGGATACAACAGCATGCGGTGGTGGCTTAGTCTCTCTGTTGATGTATACCGCAAAGTGATTTCCTTGAACCTGTATTGCAAAGTTATTCTGTAACTCACAAATCGCGTGAACAAAACCTTTTCAATCTTCTCACCCATTTCTTCCTTGCCTCACATCAATGGGATCCAATTTTTTTGTTGTTGTTCCTTGTTACGTCCGTCAGATCAGCTGAAAAAAGCCACTCCATCTTGTTTCCAGCACTTGTGTTCATCTCAGTCTAGTTTGATTAGCTTTTTAACATTTTAGTTCTCATTACTTCATAGCCTTTTCTCTTTAGGAGTTTGTAGACCAGTCAAATTAGTAAAATCTTAGTTTTGTGTATTGTTCAATTCGTCAAACCGGTTTCACTGGCTTGCGAGGGTTCAGACTTCAGATTCATTGTCTCTGGGAACATCGTTGTTCTTCCATTTTGAAGGGTTGGATAAGTAGTTATGGTGTGCCAAGCAGCGAGTCAAACCAGATTTCGGGCATTGAAACATGAAAATGGAACTGCAGGGTGCTCCACCATTATAGTTAGAGTTATAGCATGCTTTCAACCTCTCACTGATTGCCAGGTATAGTATTCCAGGATTGAAGAAACTGTGATTAATTTATGATCTCTTGATTATTCTCGTGATCGTTAAGGATGACAAACTCATGATGATTTTTGTTTTTGGGTGTTTTTTCAGGCTGAATACTTCCGTCATTTGCTCAAGCCTGTCACGTAATAGTTTTTTGCTTTGTTCGTTTTGGGTTAAGCCGGTGGTTTTTGTTATTTTCCTTGTTGGTGAAAACATTACCAATAGTAAAAGAAATAGCACTTGTGTTTGAATCGTTTTTCTTCAGGTACATATTGCATTGTTTATTTTTCTATTCATTCATTTCTTTCAATCTAGGTGATTTGTTGATTCAGTGTGCTTGAAATTCTTTAGGTGATTGTTGTGGTTGAATGGGAGAAGATTGTGGAAATTGGATTCCGGAGCTGCATTTTGATTGGCAATCTCCCAATTTGAGTTCATTTGATGCTGCACCCTTTGATGTGGGGAAGCAAAATGGTACTTCTGCAGCTATGAATCCTGGTACCAACATGGTCGCAAAAAATGCTACAATGCCAGCTTATGTGTCCTCTGCTCTACCTCATTCGCAGTTAGGCCATTCTGGTGAACCTCATGGTTGGTTTTATTGTTTGCCTCGCTTTCGACAGGGCTTTACTATGCCTTCTCGAAACTTCAATGCAGAGGAAAAACTCCCTGCTGCCAAAGGCTTTACAGGCGAGGAAATTGTACAGAATGGGGAACCGGGTTTCCCTCAAAAGCAATTTCTGGTTATTGATCAAACTGGTGATCAAACAACCCTGGTTTATAGTTCAGGGTTTGGGGCTTCTATTGAGTATAATTTGAAGATGCATGGTTCTAACAATTTGAACAATGGAAATGAGTTACATTCTTTAAGAAGAGATGTGAATCATGTGGTTGGACTTGGACCAACTTTGGATGATAAAGTTGAAGAAAATCAAGAAACTTATGATGACATTGAAAGTGAGATGCATGAAGACACAGAGGAAATCAATGCATTGCTTTACTCTGACAGTGACGGTTATTCCAGTGAGGATGATGATGATGAAGTTACTAGCACAGGGCATTCGCCCAGTACAATGACCACTCATGATAACCAGGAAGAACCTGATAGGGGTACTGCTGAAGAAGTTGCAAGCTCAATCGGAGAATCAAAGAAGCGAAAGCTGTGTTATGATGATGACATGCAGTTCATGGACACTGCTAGTTCTCTGAATGGGAAAAGACCCTTTGAAATGGAAAATGATGCAGAATCAAGATGCTCTAATGGTGGCAACAGTAGCCGAGGGTCAGGTGAAATGGGTTCGTTGTCAGGTAATAAAAAGATGAGAAAGGAGAAAATCCAAGACGTTCTGAGCATTCTGCAGTACTTAGTTCCTGGTGGTAAGGACAAGGACCCAATTGAGCTTCTTGATGAAGCCATACGTTGCTTGAAATCATTGAAACTCAAGGCTAAAGAACTTGGACTTGATGCTATATAAGTTGAGGAGAATTCTTAGCCGGCATCACTTTGTCACTTATTTAGTACGTTATCTTTTGTTTGTTTTGGTTTGTTGAATAATAAACAAGGTGTGAAGATTCAGCAAGGGAAGTGGTCAGTGTGAAGTGTGACCCACTTTAAGCCCCTGCTCAATTATTAAGTTGGAAGATAAAAATGATCTGGTTTGGTGTGTGAAGAAAGAGCGAGTATTATGCCGCAATAAAGGAAAAAAAAAAATGAATGATTAGTCCATGTCTTGGGGGTTAGAGAAAGTAGCACTAACGGTGGCATGGGGTGTGAGTGTGAGCTGTGTTTTGAATGAGAAGAGTGGTTGTTCCAAAAAGTGGCCAAAAACGAGAGTGCACGCCTCTAGGCTGTTATGGGGCCCAACCTCACTTCCTCTTTTTGTAACCTTGTCGTGTTCAATCCTTTGTGGGTTTGCCTTTTCTCTGATGTAAAAATTATCACTAGCTAAGCACCTTCCCTTTTGTGAGAGAGAAAAGAAAAGATTGTGACAACTTTGGGGGAGGGCCCCCCCTGCTCCTCTATTTTCTACTTGAAGAATGCCACAGTAATGTAACTCGCTTGTGGGAAACACTGATTTTTGTGTTGTGTTTGTTTAGTGCTATTGTTGTTATTATGGTCTTCCCTCCCTTGGAGGGTGTATCGTAATTTGGTCTCATGTTAGATAGGGAGGGAGGGAGTGAAGGGTGATATCTTGGTCGGATGTAATTTAATGTAGTTGGTGTTACTGTTGTCTTTTAGCCTCTGTAGTTACGTCGCATGCACGCATTTATGATATGAGAGTGATGTGTTTTTTTAAAATTAAATTTCTATCTTGGTGTTTAAATATGATTATTATTGGCATTATTATTTACATGATTACTATGTGGATTGATTAAAATAAAAAAGTGTGAAAAGTTGTGTGTTGCTCCATGGATGGTGGGGTGATAACTGAAGAGGGACCACAGCGTTGAATTATTAGTGAGGAAGATACATATGACGTGTGTGTGCACAAGAGAAAAGAGCACGGGTGGGGTTGCGGTGAGTAGTCAATAGTCATTCTAGGTATCAAACAAAAGAAAGAATCTTATACAGTGATATATTGAAATCCATTGATTTTCCACTGTGCAAAAGAAACATGCCATTGCATGAGGCTAGAGCAGCTTCTTAGCATGGCTTTTCCTTCCTTTCTTTTCTGGGTGGAGGACAGAGAGGGTGGACTCTTGAATCTTTTTTTTTTTTTCCTTCTTTTTTCTTTCTCTATTCTGGGTTAACTTTCATCAAACATTTTTCAGTTCACAAATCATTTACAAAATTATAATGTCAGTAAACTGTCTCTTGGTGTATTAAATTGTTTCACAGGCTTCACAGTGTTCTCGTGTTTGATTTTTTTTTATGTTAAAATGATATTTGATCAACGGTAATAATGTTCTGTAAGAACAGATTAGTTCTTGATTATTACGTAAATTATGTTAAAAAAAAACTTATGAAGATAATTGTTACGTATGGTTGTTATAGAAAAAATACCAATTATTTTTTAAGTTTAATAAAGTACTAAAACTTTATCTAATATTTTGCATCAGTCTTATTTCTTTTAAATGTTTTTTTTTTACTCGGTACATTTTAAAGAATTGGAAAAATATTATTTTCACAAAATATTCGACTGACACTGTGGACATTCTTAAATTTAAGAAAACATAAATTTATTCGATTCTATTATTACTTTATTTATATATTCTATTTTAGTAATTGAACTTGTTAAAGAACAAAGCTAAAAAGCTTAAAGAAAGTATATTTTAAACATTGATGGGAAGGTTTATATTCCTCATGCGAGATTCTCAATCGAATTTGAAAACAATAAAAAATACATATTTCCTTTCCTAGATAGAACAAGAAGTTAGTTTTGTGAAAGATGTGGTTGGCCTCAACATTAATAGCAATCTATATCATTTCTAACATGATGGCGTGCTGCAAATTGTACGTAACATCTGCATTACAATTACAAAGTTTAGTGACTAAGAGCACCTCCAACGGATGGTGCTTAATGGGTTCCTTATTCTTAAGCAACGTTCCTTATAAAAAATTTCGTTGGACTTGTCTTACATGGCAGCTGGGTTTCTTAAAGTTTTTGTGAATTGCTTGTACAAGCAACAATCCTTAGCACTGACAAGAAGAATTTCATTGGTTGAAATTTATCTACGTGGACCACATTTATGAAAAAGAAAAACAGAAAAAACCATGTTCACGTCCTGTTCGTTTGTCCGGGAGGTTTGGCAACGCCGGCCCGTGTCGCCAGTGGCCGTTCGAGCGTCACCAGTCGCGCGCTGTTGGGAATATGCCTAAATATCTTTAGAAGATTAAGTTAGTTATTTATAAGAATATTTTATTTATATTTCAAATATTTAGATTTAATCTGTTCTGATTATTTTAAGATTTATTTCCTTATTTTAGAATAGGATAATATCAAATATATTTGATTTTGTATAACAAATTTTCTCTATAAATAGAGACTCATGAATAAAATTATATTATGCTCCTCTGATAAAAAAATAAGTCTTATATATAAAATATCCTCTCAAACAAATATCACAAAATAACCCCATCACGCGTCACCGGTCGCGTGTCTCCGGCAAGTCCTCTACGCCCCGCGCGGCAACCGGCCAAACCCCTCCGCCCCCGTGCGCGACCCCTCTGCCGGGCCAGAAGCCACCGCCCCCGTGCGCGACCGCCAGAAGCCACCACCCCCCATGCGCGACCCCGTACACGACCCCGTGAAGAAAGAGTGAAGGGAGAGTGAGTGACGGGAGAGTGTAGAGAGTGAAGGGAAAGTGTAGGGAGGGAGAGTGCAGAGAATGAAGGGATAGTGAGATTTTTGGTATTATGTAATTTTTTTTTATTATTGTAATTTTTTTTATTATTAAAATTTTTGATATTTTTTTTATAATGTAATTTTTTGATATTTTTTATAATGTAATTTTTTTATTATTGAAAGTTTTTAATTATGAAATTTGTTTTAATTATTAGTTATTCATATTTATTTATTATTCATAATAATTAATTTTATAAAAATTTATCATAAAATATAATGTGAGGTGTCAAAAAGTGTAATATGAGTTATAAAAAAGTTGAGGTGCTTATAAGCAACTTCCATTGGAGCAAAAATTGTAAAAATATAGTATGAGTTGCTTATGAGTGACGTGTCACAGTGGGACCCATTTAAAGTGGTTGGGAGTTGCAGATGCTCTAAGGAATCGAATAAAAGTCTCCAACAAGAACACGAAAGCGAATATATTTAGAGACAAAAATTCAAGTACACATCACTTATCACATGCTCCATTCTCATTTTCCATCTCTTTCGCTTTCTTGAATTTTATTACATTTATAATTTTAAAAATGTATGATATGTACTATTGTGCACTGGATTAATTAGTTAATAGTTTAACTGTTGCAAAATTCTAATTGTGTACTTTAATTCCGTGTCCAAAGTCCTTCATTGACTCCTATTTTCATCCCACATTAAAAGTGGGCACATATAAATAGATTAACTCTATTTTAATGTCTTGATTCCTCATGTCGTATGAACTTTGTAACTGTGAGTATTTAGTAAGCCTATTGAAAAAAAAAATCAACATTTTGGTGAATAGTGATAACACATGTGGCGGCAACCATACTCATGGAACTTGGAAGCAAGCTTGTGGACTCAAATGTGAGTGAAAAAAGTCAAATACATGTTCAGGAACAGCAATGATAATCTGTAGAGCTCTTAAATTTGCACTCAAGAGCTTTCTTGGATGTTTGATATTGGTGGAATGAGATAAAATGGGATGAAATATAATGAATTTATTATATTATCATTTTGATATTTATGGAAGAATGAAATAAAATCAAATTCTTCACTAGGAAAGTTTAAGAAATAATAAGACCCATTAGTAAACACGAAGTTAATTTTATCCTATATTTTTCAAATAAGAGGAAAATAAATAGGCACAAGAGGCAGTGAAATAAATTCATTTGGTCACTGTTGGGCTTACTTGAAGATCTGGGCTGATTCGCAGATCAAACAACTCGAAAAGCACACTCATGAAGTTTAAGGAAAGTATCAAAGGCTTAAGTTATCTGTACTCGAAATATACTCGAATCAATGAGCCAAATCGAATTGAGAAGTGCTCGAAAAAGTGGGAATTACTGAAGGATTCCAAATAAAGTAATTACCTTAGAACAGTCAGTTGAAAAGTGATCGAGGATGTCTTATGGATGCACTAGAGCGGTTATTAAAAGCACAGAAATAGAACACGTGGGAAAGGCGGTTAGAAGTTACATACGAAGAAGTTGCATAACTCATACCCACGTCAAGCATAATGGATAGCGGTTACACCCTACAGCACTCAAACTCAAATTTTAACCGTTATTGAGTCAGTTTATAAATAGAAGTATTAACCTCGTGCACAAGGTCGGAAAACTCATACTAAGACTGTAATCTGAAGCACTCTTTTGCCTGCGCATATGGCTTTCGTGCATGAGATTGTTTTTGGGTATGGTTTCTTCTCGGCCACATTTCTTTTCTCTTTTTAGGAGTAGTTGTAGTGTAATTCGTTCTTCCTATTATCTATTATTGTGTAGTTCTAGTATTCTGACATTGTAATTCCTGTAAATTATGCAAATGAACCATGATCTGTATTGCAAATGTATCCATCGTTCATTATGTTCATTTAAGGCTTTACTTTCATGAATTTAATTACTTGTTGGTCATTGATGAATATTTAGAAACAAGTAACGTTTAAATCTTTCTGCTCGATCTCGCTTTACATCAACGTCTCAAAACGAAATATACCTAAATTGAAACGTGTGTCGTGCTAGTCTAAATATAAAGAACCTATAAAACTAATTCCACCGTAAACAAATTGGCACGCCCGGTGGGACCTGTTTAAGGAAAGTATCATAACATAATTGGACTAGTTTTAGGTGTGTGAGTTGCATGAGATTAAGGAGTGGAAGAACAATGTCTACGTCTAATAGAGAAACAGGTACTAACAATAATAATCACGTAGATGTAGAACAAGCAAATTCTAATCCTGATAATGTGACTAATGTGACCAGGGGGGCAACGTCTTCATCCCCTGTGTTACTCGAAAACACAGCTAGGCAAACAAATGTTACTCAGGAACTAGCGAATGTCACTAGGGAATATCCCTGGGGTATGCCACAGAATTGGCGAAATACCCAACCTGTACATGTCGAAATGCCAATACCGTTAATAGGACCCAATTCACAAATGCATGTATCCCCACAGGGATATAATCCTGGGCCGAATGGCATGGGTTTTGTTATGCAAGACCCGTATCAGCATATAGGAACAAGTCAGGAGGGTTCTTTGATTCGACAAGGCAGTTATGTACCTACGAGTATTAGTAATCAAGCCATAATGGCTCTTCGACAACCAATGGACCATAGTAATCATGACATGGTTAATTTGTTGTCAACTCAAATGCATAATATTATGACTCCTCTGTACGAATTGATAAACCAAATAAGGGATAGATTAGGTAATGGACCTCCTTCGAGAGCAATGAGTGCAAACCTGAACGAAATGGAAAACCCTGGGGGGCATGGAAATTTTCATCAGAACGTAGTTCGACCTAATAGGAATCCTAATGATAACTTAGACGAAATGGTAGAAAGAATACTGAATAGGCACGGATTCGATGTTGGTCGAAACGAGCGTCCTTACTTTGTGTCAGCCTTCCCGGATTATATAACTCAGGTAGAACTACCCCGAGGAATCAAAGTACCAAAATTTTCGAAATTTGCGGGAGAATTGACCGAGTCA